TATCCGTAGCAATCACCCTTTTCCCTCTCTCTGCAGCCCACCAGCTCATGAACACATACCAAAATTCAGGAAGAGGACCCCTGCAAAAATTATTGCCCATCACAGTGCAAGGGTCAGATATTTATACACTGACCTTGAGTTTTGTGCCTGTTCTAGCCTAATTATTATGAGGTCTAAGTTGTATTACAAACATTCAATGTTTACATTTCTTTATTATGTTAATGTATGCAAACGGTAAAACTTACCAGAGGATAGGTGTTAACATATGCTCGGGTAACTTAACTCTCACTTCTTCTCACATATTTACTAAGTTCCTTAATGAAATATTTGCAGTCTGTCACTCACGTGCTTACATGAAGTTATCTCTGTCATCAAATGCTTCCAATTCTCACTCAAAGGATGGATGGAAATGATACACTGCAAATGACAATATGCAACACTACTCTCACCACTCAATATGCACATCCTCCACCAATTGCCTCCTTGATTTTACATTCTCAAGCATAAATATATTCACATGTATTTCTCTTTGTTTTTTCTGAAATCTTAAAAAAAAAAAAAAGACTCAGAGAGGGACATGTAATGCTGAATTTCCTCTTGTTTCTGTAACTTCATTAATACATTCAGCAAACTATAAATAACCTTTTTCGACAACCCATTTATTTCATAGCCTTGATTAGGCTATTTTGTTATGCAGGGCTGGATTAAGACCTTTAGAGGTCCTAAGCACTGAAAAGATTATGGTGCCCCCCCCATATGTAATTCAAAATAAAAACAATAGTATACTGTAAAATCTCAAAAATTTTTTGGTGCCCCTGCTTTGCTGGTGCCCTAAGCATGTGCTTAGTCTGCCTATTGGGTAATCCAGCCCTGTTGTTATGCCTGGAGTCAAAAGTACCCATTTTAGAAATCCTCACTGACTTCCAAAAGGGCCAGTCTCCCTTGAAGTCAAAACTTTCAAATGACTACAAATAGAGGAGGATGCAGCCCATCAAGACAAACATGTTCACTTTATTCTCTTTGTTGACCCCTTTCAAAACATTGTTGACAGCTTTTAGAAGTTAAAGAGCCCCTGAGGTCACACATGAACCCGGAGAAAATGAAATTTTCTTTTCATAGCTTCCTATTTTAAAGCCATCATGTGCTGAATAGTTACCACCCTGGGTTTTTATATGGAAGTTTCATGTTAAACAAATCTAAATGACTGTCAAGGGGACAAATAGTTCTGGGGATTGCAGATGTTTCTTGAGCAACTGTGTTACTGTTTTAAAAGCATTTCTTTTCTAGGTCACTGTTTTAAAAGCATTCCAAGATATTTATTTACATATAAAATTGGAAAGAAGCAGTCATGTGAAGGTCTGAGCACCTGGACAGTAAATAACTTGACTTACAATAGAAATCAATCATCAACACAACTACTAGCCATACATAAAAAGTAATTGCACCAGCCAGCACCTTTAACTAATCAAGTGGAAATAAAATTTTACCTCAGCCAAACAACAGTAAAAAAGGATAGAATTTCAGAAAAGCCTCCCCTTGACACCATACAAAGAATCACAGCCAGCAACATACCCTAATCCTTCTCTCAAAAGACCTATGCAACAAATGATTATTTCTACATGCCCAGGTGGTCAAGCTATTTTAGACCAGAGGGAGCATTACCATCTAACTGCTTCTCAGACACTTTTAAAGACAGTCAAAAAGTCAAATCCAGATTTGACAAACAACCAAAACCATGGTTACAATTGTGGTCAGCTGTAGTAACTGTGGTCAACTTCCCTGCACTAGCTTCCCTGTGCTGCTGTGCACCCAGCCAGATAAGCCTGGCTGTATTATAGTAGTGCTATGATTATAGGACTTCTTCAGACTTTTAGTCTATATTGCCGGCACATAACACGAGCACTAAATTCAACGCCTCCCTAATGCAATATATCCTACATGCACATACAGTAATATAGAAAAAATTTCTTTATCAAAAAAGAAAACACAGTTGCTCAAGAAAAGTACAGTAAAAATTGTGCTATTTGGCACTTCAACAACCAGAAAGCCCTATAAACCAGCATTTCTGATATTAACTGAAAGTCCTGTTTATAGTCCAATTGGTGCAGTACCGGCAGGTTCTCTACCTGGTTCCATGTAGCTCCCCAGCAGTGGTGGCATGTCCCTGCTGCCTCTCGGTTGAAGAACAGCCAAAGGGCCTCCATGCACTGCCCCCATCCCAAGTGCTGGCTCCAAGCTCCCATTGGCCAGGAACCACAGTCAACAGGAGCTGTAGGGGCAGAGCCTGCAGGCTGAGGCAGCATGCCATGCCTCCTCCTAGGAGCAGCAGGGACATGTTGCTGCTTGCAGGGAGCTGCCTAAGGTGAGTGCTGCCTGTATAAAACAACCTAAACCCTACTGCCCCCAGCCCTGAGTTCCCTCTTGCACAAAAACTCCCTACCAGAGCCCAAACCCTGCACTTCTTCCCACACTCCAACCCCTTACTACGGGGTTGGTGAGTACCTGTATTCTATTTTATTCTTTATTCATTGCACTATATTCTAATTCTTTGAAAATTGGTATTCCACAGGAAAGTACAATTCTTAAATAACCAAAGTATTTGATTAACTGGCACTCTCCCCCTACCCCACTCCCTGCCATTCCTACATCATGCAGGATAACAAAGCTTTTACTGTACTGAAAATTGACTAGGATGATGTTGAGGTTGAAATGGGATATATATCCAAGACACATTTCTTATGAAGTGTTTGTTTTTTGCTTGTTCCTATTATCTATTGTAATGTACTGTTTTGTATTATTGTTTATATACATATTATAAATAATTCACCAAACCCATGGATTCATTATTATTCTACATGAGTAAGTATTTTATTCAGCTTCTTAAAAACAAAACTTAGAGAACATCTACAATAACATACATTTCTAACAACACAAAAATTATTAGGATACATTACTTATTCACACCCTTCTGGTTAAAGAAAAAGCAATACAGATTCATTACTTTGCAGTAAATCTAAATAAGGAGTTTAGTGCATATCATCAGCATAAAGCACTATTTATAGTGACATTTCAATAACACTGAGTGCATATGGTACTTGAGAAGTGATGGAACCGTTATTATAAACAACAGTCCAAATAAAATTTAACAAATAAAACAGAAATGAGAATGGATAAGAACTGCTGTAAGAATACCAACGAAACAGCAGTGGAATATAACCAAATAGTTTCTCAAAATGAACCAGAATTATTGAGGATTGATATGCATAACTAGTACTGCTGTAAAACTCATGAAAAGGTTCTTAGCTCTGTCATTCAAACTTCTACAATCATATGATTGTACACTTAATTACCCATATTCAGATGTGTTATTTGTAATATCAGTATTACATTATATGAAATATAAAACTCCCTGTGATAAATTGCTGTGCAAATTCATTATAATCTCTCAGTGTAATTTCTGTTTCTTATCTATAGCCAATGTTAGAGTTTAACTGCAGAGTTTTATTTTCTATTCCCTGATAGTTAGATACAGCAGTGGTGGAGTACAGAATTCTTAAATTTTTTTGTGTATGAAGATAGTTGGAAAAATCTCCAAAGCAGTCAAATATCAGAGGGATAGCCGTGTTAGTCTGAATCTGCAAAAGCGACGAGGAGTCCTGTGGCACCTTATAGACTAAGGGTATGTCTAGACTACATGCCTCTGCTGACAGAGGCATGTAAATTAGACCACCCAAATTAGTCAGTGAAGCAGGGATTCAAATATCCCCCGCTTCATTAAAATAAAAATGGCCATGATGCTGTGCCGGCTCAGCTGATCGTCGGCACGGCGCGGCAGTCAAGACGCGGATCAGTTGACAGGGAATGCCTTTGTCGACTGCTCCCTTATGCCTCGTGAAATAAGGTTTACAGGAGTGGTCGACAAAGGCGTTCCCTGTCAACCGATCTGCATCTTGACTGCCGTGCTGTGCCAACAATCAGCTGAGCCGGCACAGCGCGGTGGCCATTTTTATTTTAATGAAGCGGGGGATATTTAAATCCCCGCTTCATTGACTATGTCGGGTAGTCTAATTGACATGCCTCTGTCGGCAAAGGCATGTAGTCTAGACATACCCTAAGGGTATCTCTACACTACAGTGTTATTTTGAAATATCTTATTTCAAAATAGTTAATTCAAAATAAGTTATTTTGAAATAACGCTTCTAAACACAAAATGCATTTTGAAATAGCGTTTTGCTATTTCCAAATAGCATGTCCACACTGATTGGACGCTGAATCGCATTTAAGGGCAGCTGAAACCGGTTCCAGCAGGGCATCAGGTCAGTACAGCCGGTCCCCGAGTTGCTAATGGTCAACTTACGACCGTTAGCATTTACAACCGAAGCTGTCAGAAATGGCGGACCCCGAGTTACGAACGCGATCTGCGCTTACGAACAGTGCGGTCGCATGTAACTCTATGGGGTCCAACTTACGAACAAACCGAGTTATGGACCAATTTCTTGGTCCATAACCAGTTCATAAGCTGGGGAGAGGCTGTAGTTGTTTTGTGTGGCTGCTGCCTGAGGCTATCTGAGGCTTGTGCTTAAAGGGATCCCCTTGGACAGCCAATTCTCAGCTTTCCCTGCTTGCTTGCCTACCTCGCTAAAGGACAGCAAAGCATTTTTCTCTCTGTCTGGTTTGGTTGCCCTGACTCAGGACACCACAGCACTTGGCACCATGGAGCCGGAGCTACCCATGAGCACTCTGGTGCTCATTTTGGACGCGTTGCTGCAAGCCTGGCTGCAATTTATGGAGACTGCCTGGCAGCATCTGCTGCAGCCCAACCCCCAGGCCCTCTTCCTGACCCCCCTGGGGGCTGGGGAGGAGCAGCAGCAGCGCCTGAATGCCAGTGTGCCCTGTTGATGAAGAAGGACACCTTCCTCGAGCTCTGTGAGTGGCTCATCCCTGCTCTGTGGTGACAGGACACGCACATGAGGCCCGCCATTCCCTTCCACAAGCGTGTGGCCATTGCCCTCTGGAAGCTCTCCACACTGGATAGCTACTGATCCATGGCAAACCAGTTCAGTGTGGGGAGATCCACCATCAGAGCAGTGCTCATGCAAGTATGGCAATCTCTGGCCACTGTGCCATGGGGGGGGTGTGTGAGGCGGGGATGGGCTGCCCTAGGGAAAAGGGGGGAGGTGAAAGTCCCCTCCCTGGGAAGGTTTAGTCTGTCCCAGCCGCACTACAGACTGCCTGATGTGGCCAGGATTGCAGGGGAGGTATCTCCACACTGGATAGCTACTGATCCATGGCAAACCAGTTCAGTGTGGGGAGATCCACCATCAGAGCAGTGCTCATGCAAGTATGGCAATCTCTGGCCACTGTGCCATGGGGGGGGTGTGTGAGGCGGGGATGGGCTGCCCTAGGGAAAAGGGGGGAGGTGAAAGTCCCCTCCCTGGGAAGGTTTAGTCTGTCCCAGCCGCACTACAGACTGCCTGATGTGGCCAGGATTGCAGGGGAGGTAGCTCCTGGGAGTGGGGGTGCAGGGCAGTGGCAGGAAAGGAGCACTCTCAGCCACCCTGGCACCCCAGTGACACTTGGTGATTTTGTGTCCCTCTGCAGGTGGTCAAGGCTGTCAATAGAGTGCTTCTCTGCAGAGTCATCCGCCTCACCGATTTGGACGCAGTGATCAAGGGGTTTGGTGCCCTGGGCTTCCCCAACTGTGGGGGGGCAATCAAGGGGACGCACATCCCCATCTGTGCCACGAACCACCAGGCCTCCCTCTACATCAACCAGAAGGGATACTTCTCGGTCATCCTGCAGGCTGTGTCTGACCACTGGCACCAGTTTGTGGACATCAATGTGGGCTGGTCCAGCAAAGCACACGACGCGCAGGTGTACCACAATTCCTCCATGTGCCAGAGGCTGCACGCTAGGACTTTCTTCCCCAACCACCACATCAGGGTCGGGGACATGGACGTGCCTGTGTGTCTGGTGAGGGATGCGGCCTACCCCTACAATCCTGGCTCATGAAGCCCTACATGGGACACCTCAACCTCTCCTGACAGGCCTTTAATGCCAAGTGGTGGAGGGGGCGTTTGGCTAGCTGAAGGCCCATTTTAGATGCCTCCTTACCTGCCTAGACCTCTCGGAGTGGAATATTCCGCTGGTGGTAGCAGCATGTTGTGTGCTGCATAATTTGTGCGAGAGGAAGAGGGAAGCTTTCCTGTCAGCCTGGATGGCAGAGGCCGACCACTTGGCTGGCCTCTACGTGCAGCCCCGCACGGCTGCCAGCCGGGAGGCCCATCGGGGGGCTGTCCATATCCAGGAGGCCCTGTGAGACAGCTTCCACCCGGAGGAGGACTGAGGTCTCCCTGGCATGCCCCACTGGGGTCTTGTGCCTTATTCCATCCTCATGTCCTTCCACTTTCCCCTCCCTAAACTCTCTTCCTGATGTACAATAAAAACACGTGTGTGGCCAAAAACAAACTCTCTTTATTGACCATAACTGGGATGAGGGAAGGAGTAAACATGGGAGGAGGGAGCTGGAAAGGGCAGGCAAGGGGAGGAAGGGGGAGGAGAAGCTCAGGGTTGGGGATCTTGCTGGTCCAGCTGTCTCCCAGCAGTCCCCCGGGGGGGAGCGGGTATGGAGGGGGGAGCGGGTAGGGGGGGAGGAAGAAGTGGGAGGGGGAGCAGGAGTGGGAGGAGGAGCGATAGCTGGGCGGCCGCAGGGGCTGGAGCGGCAGTACAATCTCTGTACCTGGGTCTGCAGGTGGTCGCGGATGGCATGCCCCTGATCAAGCAGCTCCTGCAAGCTCTCCAGCCACAGCTGCAGGTCTTCCTGCACCCAGCGCTCCTGGCAGTGGACCTGCCTTCGCAGGAGCTCCAGGTGCTGCCGCTGGTACTCCTCCTGGTTCCGGGTCAGCCTGCTGAGGGCCCAGGTGCAGGAGGATGCCCTGGACAGGGTGGTGCACCCTGCGCTCACAGCTGCTGCAGCTGTGGAGAAACATGAGAAGTGGTCAGTTTTCCCTGGGGACACAGTGAGCAAAACCCAGCCCCCTCTGTAAAGCGAGGATGGCAGGTGTCTGCACCATCATGTCCTGCTATCCCCGGAGTATGAGCTAGCCCCTGTGCTGTATATAGTGTGGGTGTGGGGAGGAAGAGAAGATGTGCCCTGCCT